AAAAGAAATGCAAGTACGTAAGTTTTTTATTTATTTTTTGTTGTGTTTCCAAGTAACAGCAAGATTAAAAAGAAAGTATTTTGTCATTGTACAGTAAACTAGTTCCCCTGACATCACCAAAAACTTGAAGTTATTTAGTCAAATTTTAAAAATGTTATACCGTCTAATACTTTTTTTACCTACTGTAGGTAGTAATANAAAAGAAATGCAAGTACGTAAGTTTTTTATTTATTTTTTGTTGTGTTTCCAAGTAACAGCAAGATTAAAAAGAAAGTATTTTGTCATTGTACAGTAAACTAGTTCCCCTGACATCACCAAAAACTTGAAGTTATTTAGTCAAATTTTAAAAATGTTATACCGTCTAATACTTTTTTTACCTACTGTAGGTAGTAATATAGATTTTCTACTGTTTATTAATGTATTAATTTTCCATTATTTACTTACACTTAATGGTACCCGCTGCAGAAACTGTCTACTGGTCAAATGAACTGGTTCAGTGGCAACTGTACCATCCACGGTACAAAACTGTTCTTCGACGCACAGCAGAGCTGCCGCACAACCGAGTTGCACGTGCGTTGGTACACCAACGCGAACATCTGCAATGTCCGACATTATTTTTGTAAAAATGCGACACATATCAAATTTAGTATGGTATTAAACCTGACAAAATAAAAAATGCTGACATTTGTAAAAGGAAAAGGGAAGAAGAGAAAGGCATTATGGATGCGCAATGAACAGGAGATTGAAACGGTGAAGGAGTTTACATATTTGGGAGTAAAATTAAAAAGGACTGGGCATATGGACAGTGCAGGATATGACAGGCAACACATGCGCTGAAGTCCTGCATGAGTGACATGACCTATCTACCGCGTGAACATTATAAATCTAAATTGCCATCACGACGCAACGTAGAGCCCCTTTCTGATCGTAGTTCAGAATTGTAATGTTGCCACCCCATTTTCTGCGTAGCCTCTTTTCCTGAATACGCTGCTCACATCGTACTCGCTGTTGCGCTGAAACACGCTGACCGTACTCGCTCTCTGATTGGCCCGTGTATTTCGTTAATATCTCATTAACGAGGCCACGGAGACCATTTTCGTTAAGGAATAAGTTACCTCAAATTACCTCAAATTTGGGTGTGACCGGACACTCTGTATTGGTTGAAACAAATCAACTCTTGTAAACTACAACAACCAGAATTTTTACCGTCGTGGTCAAAACTATACTACAGATTAACACTATTTTTATCAAAAGAGTGAAAGGACATCTTCCACAATTTTAATTCAAAATTATTTTAATCAAATAATTATTTTCTTATAATCACTAGATTGTAGATTTTATGAAAAAATAAATAGATTACAAGTATTAGAGAATATCACAATATGTTAATTTCGTTCTAATAAAATTGTTAAATAACGGAAAATGTTTCTAATTGGCTCGTGTGCTTTACAACAGTTGCAGAATATTTTCATTTTGCATAAAAATTCGCGCTCTATTAATCATGCTTCATCGATAGAAAAGATCGGTAAAAATAGTGTTAAGAGATCGGATCCAGAAAATAAACCATCTTACTTGCAGAAATCTGTTGAGTGGGAGGACCACCGAATGATTGTTGAGGTATCACAGGTCTTTGCTTCACGAATCCTGCGTTTTGACTAGTGCCGGCCGAATCTTGACCAGACGGTTCAATTTCTGAAGGTCCGACTTGAAATTCAGCGACAGCTTGGCAACAGACTTCGTCTTGAACTCTGCATGCTCGCCCCTATTTAAAAAAAAATAGGAATTAAATATTAGTGACTGTCCTCTCGTATGTATTCTCCGCCTCAAAGGTTCTATACCGAGTGAACAAAAATAACTTGATTTCTACCCAGTCAGCCAAGTCTGCTTCGACCAAATACATGTAAAACACTTGGTGGCGTATTTTGTGAAGGAAATGTGAATTTAGTGCTAAGGCTCTACTGAAAGGGGATTCTTCTCGGTATTTGGTACCAGAGGCTTGGCGTTAGCAAATCAATGGCAAATCTTTGCGGAACCATTTGTAGCGAAACGTATCGTTTGAAGAGGGATCGTATCGCACTCACGTGGCACGTGGCGCTATAGGGTTTGGCCTGGATTTGGCATGGTGCCAAATTCGGTGTGAAATGCAGGAAGGGATGGCTTGGTATTTGACACAACAGCGTACGGTTAGATTGATGTCAAATTCAGGACAAATTGCTTACTGGGTAACTAACATTATTTTCCATGTTTTTGATAACGTACGAAAATAATGATAAACCTGACAAAGTCTATGATTAAAAATGGAAAATATTATGATAAATATTTTTCTCAGGAACATATTTTTCGGAATTTTCAAGTCAGTAATGTCTACATTATTTTGTATTCAAAGTCGCGTAAAGATCACGATATTAATCTGGTTAAAAAGAATCCGATTAAATCCCATTTTAAAAAATACATCCATGACATTAAAATCACTGAAAATATTGTATGTGCTTGCTTTTACTGAATGTCTTGTGAGTGAGGATATAAATGTTTATATGGATGGATGAGAGAATGATAGAGAGAATCATAGAGGTTGGTAGCGTTGTCTGCGATATGTGAAGGTGAGAGTGTATAACTAAAAGTGAAGCGTTGTATGACAGAGTTTTCCTGAGTGTAAGCACGTGTGTTTGAGCGAAGTGTGGAATTTGTACGGTATATTTATATTATGATAAATTAGTTTATTGCAAAAGAGTGTCCTTATATATTTTATGTCCATTTTCTGCATTCACAAGTATTTATTTTAGAACAATTTGCGATGATTATTTGCAAAAGAGTGCCTCTCCACGATTTTGATGGAATCTAAATATAATACACAGCTTGACATTTCGAATAACATTTGTCTACGTAAATAATGTCGTTCTGGATTAGTTTCCGATATCCACGTAGAACCTGAACCTAACCCAGACCTAACATATATTAATAACTAGCCTGCGCGGAACCTTAATATAGCAGCTCTTTAAGTTAACTGCAAGAAGCTAAAAATAAATAAAAACGAATCCATTTTTTCACAATTGTAATGGGTACAAAATAATGTAACAATATTCTTAAATTTTTCTAATATCTTCATAACATTGTAACATATCTCATTCATTAGTTTTTCTAATAAATGTCTAAAATGCCGCAGTCCACTTATAACCTTCAAAGGCGTTTTAAAAACGTTCTCGAAAACTATTTTGCGAACGTTATATGTATGTATAGGTTGGGTAAGTGATTGGTTTTCATTATTTGCTTAGAAAGCTCGCGCATTATTATAAATAGATTGTATATTGATTGTCGTTACGTGTTTCTAGAAACAGTAAACAAACAGAAATTAATGTAACGCGACATTTTTTATAAAGGAAAAAGATACATGTTTCGAACAATAAGACGTATTTATCAAAATCGGACAAAAGAACCCTTTTGTAAATAATTACCAAATTCTCTATTTATCGCAACATATGTCCCTTAGAATCAAACAACGTTTATCTTCGATCTGTCTTCGTGTTATCAATA